TAAATCTATTAAAAATAAACAGAAGGGTGTCATTTTTTTAATCTTGAGTTTGTCTTAAATTAATTTAATTGTAATCTTTTAAGAGAAATAAATATTTTTTCCTACTTTAATCTTACTATTATTTATTTATTTTAATTAATTATATTATCATAAGAAATTTTATTTTATCTTTTAATTTTTTAAAAATAATATAAATAAATACATATATAATTCTTAAATATTTAATTTAGAAAAAAAAAAGAAATAAAAGTTATTATGGGCCAAAGAAATAGTACATTTGTAGTTTATTTACTTTGAGACAGAGGTAAAAATAGGGAGAAAAAATTTTCTATTTAAATAATAAAGAATTAAAAAGGATGAGAAGTCTTCTCATATTTCGCTTTATTATTTTTATTGTTATTTAAAAAAAATTCTTTTATAGTGGGTTCATTAAAATTTTTCTTTAAATTAAGTGAAAATGAAATTTTAAATCTAATATAAATAAAAAAATTTTAACTAAATTTGTTATAAGTGTATTAAAATTGTTTAAAAGTTCTATAATATCATTTTTTGACAAATAATTAAAATATAAAATTTTCATTAATTTTAACTAAATAAATATTAAAATTTTAAAAGGAACAATAAGTGAAACTTTGTTTTCAGTCTTTTATTACTTTGATTAATGACTTTTGTTTTAATAACTTAACTTAATTCAAAATTTTAATTTTGATTACCAAAAAATTTGATTTTTTTATAATATGATTCATTTAATTAACAAGTTGCTTTAATCTTTTTAAGCAAAAAAAGAGTTCTTTTATCATTAATCAAACTGAAATATTTCAATTAATTAAAATTTTAACTGAATTAATAAAAAAAGCATTTATTTTAAATATCAAGTGATTAAGAATTGAACAAAATACATTCACTTCTAATAATAAAAAAAACATTGAGAAAATTGTGTAGAGAGAGTTTTGATTGTTATTTTTTAATTTTATAATAATTTGTTTAATTAATATTAATCAAAATTTAATATTTTAATTATTACATTTAAAAAATATTATAAATATTATAAAAATTCTTAATACACTTGTAATAAATTTTATTAAAATATTTTTATTTATATAAAATTACAAATTATATTTTTGTTAAATAAAAAAATCTAATAAACCTACCATAAAAAATTTCTCTTTTAATTTTAGTCTAACCGAATTAGCTGAGAAAAATGAAGGAAATCTCCCTTTCGTCCATTTCTCTTACAGTAAATGAAATGGGCGTTAAGCGTTAGTGCTATGGAAAGAAGTGGTAATTCTCGGCTTAACGCCATGTGCTCCCCTCCAACTTGTGGCCGTTGAGGGTTTTAGCCCCTTAACAAATAATGTCTTTATGTAGCCCTTAAACCTGCTGTCTTTAAGGGTTTTGGCCCAAAATTAACGGTAGTTAGTCACGCCTATCCCTAAACCATTAACTCATGTCTACTCAACATTATGTCATTGCCACTTGGAAGAAAAAATGGCCCAAGACAAACCAACAAAGGTGAAAAAACTAACTTAGCAACCCTAAACTTGTTGTTTTTAAGAGTTTTAGCGCTTCAGCATATAATATGAGAATTTTAACCAATGATTTACATATTTTTTAAATAATAAATCCAAAATTAATAGATAGAAAAACATAAATAATATTCACTCATTTCTTCATTAAGTTATATTTCGCTAGTGCCATATAAGTAAATAAAGTGATAACATGACATGTGGGTGTAGATCCCACATTAATTTGAATTTGAAAATTAAAATTAATTTTAATTTATTTCATTTCTCTCCTCCACCTTTGCAAATTTCTTTCTTCACGTAAAAACTCCTCCTTTAGACATAGTTGCTGGGTTCTCATCACCTTTATTTTCTTATTTATAATGGTAATGTTAGCCTCAAGTATCATTCTCATCATAAATAAAACCAAAACAAAAGACCCACAAGTACTAACACCCAATAAGTGAAAATTAGAGGTTTTGAAGGAGACCAATAGTTCAATGGGAAATGTTACATTGATCTGATTTGAGGTTCTCTTATTGGAAAGGAAAGGCCAGAGGAAAAGAGTAAAAGAAGAAGGAGAAGTTGGAGAAGGGTGCAAGAAAGAGGTGAAAGAGGTAAAAATCAATTTTATTTCTTTAAAATTGTAATAAATGTAAGGCCCACATGGCATATGATTAATTTTTTGCTAAAATGACATTAACGAAGTGTGATTTAGAAAAGAAACAAATAGATATGTTACTCATATTACTTTTGCTATTAATTTTTGGGTTTATTATCTAAAAAAATATAATTTAGGAGTTAAAAATTTTTATTTGTATATTAAAGGGTTAAAACCCTAAAAAATAACAAGTTAGAGGCACCAAATCAACTTCTTTCACCTCTATTAGTCTAGTTTAGACCATTTTTACTTTAACGTGATAATGACATGGTGCTGCGCAGGCATGAGTTAATGGTTTGGAGACGGACATGACTAACTACTGTTAATTTTGGGCCAAAACCCTCAAGGACAAGAAATTCAAGGGCTACATAACAGAAATTCTTTGTTGAGCGACTAAGACTCTCAATGACGACAAATTTGAGGGGGCACGGGGGTTAAGCCGTAATTCTCTGGTCCCCAATCTAACGCGTGACAGCCCAAACAAGAGGGTGAAGTTGTCGTCTTCAGTGAGCTCGACACATATGTTCAGTGCTTACCCGTCTCATGGACGTTCAGTATGATGCATATTGTTAAAAAAAATGAAAATGTTAAAGTGTTATTATAAATTTATAATAAAATATATGTGGTTAGTGTGTTTTAATTTTAATTTTAAAAAATAATTAGATTTTTAATTTATATT